CCTATTAGGAATATTGTGTTACATAATGATAAGATGCAGTGAGTTATTATGGGGACTATAAAGGGAGGCAGTGTGGGAGTGCAGAGCACCAGCCCGTCACCTGCCCTTGCTCTGACCTTCAGCAGCTCTGTCATCTCCCCAGGTCTCAGTTTCCCTCCTGTAAAACAGGTCTGATCCACGCTCCAGCCATTATCTTAAAAGCTTTTCCATCCTGAAATCAGAAAAAGAGGAATTTTCCCCTTTTCTTCCATCCTGAGATGAAGGCATGAGGATTTCCACATGAAATCCATCTGAGTCTGAGCAGACACCACAGCATCTCCATCCCTGCAGAGCTGGGCTGTGGATGAGAAGCTGAGACAGGGATGAGGAGTTGTTCTGCCCACAGAGGTATTTTCCAAAAGCGCTGGACAAATGAAAACAGGAAACCGTAATTGAACTAAATCTGCCTCTTTAACCTCATTATTAGGATTGGGATTATATGCTTCAGAGGAAGTTCAGCCTCTGTTTAAAACTTGAGGAGGTGTGGATGAATGGCATAAACCACAGGGAGAGAGGGAATGCTCCTGCACTTGGTGGAAAGTCCAGCTGGAAGGACAGACAGACAGACAGGGTGGCAGGGATGGGGGCTCAGCCTGGTGCCCTCCTTTCAAGCAGAAGTTGGGGTGAGCACTAAAAACCTCCGGGCAGCCTGGCAATTTGCTCTCTCTGCCTGAAGACTAAAGCAAATTTCCCTTCATTTCCATATTTAAAGCTGTGTCCCCACGCAGCCGGGAAGGACGGCAGGGTCTCAGGTTACCCCGTGCTCTGCCCACAAGCCCTGCAGATCCGGCCTGGCCACCTCTGCCCTCCCCACACAGCACCTGGCGCCCTCAGAGAGCCTCAGCCCCAGCAGGAACAGCAAAATCCATCCCTGGACACGGATTGCCACAGCCAGGGTGTGCAAATTCTGTGTCCTGCTGCTGTTGGTGACACGGGGAGGCTGCAGCGCCTGCCCTGAAGGCTCCTTGTACAGAGACCAGTGTCACCCCTCTGCAAGCCCTTCCTTGGGTGCAAAATCACTGACAGCAAAGCACTTTGGGTGGGCAGACAGAGAGGTTTTCCACCTGTGCAGCATTCATGAGTGCAGAAAAGCAGGAGCAAGGGAGAAGCTCAGAGGTGAAGAGTTATCTCGGGGCGTGCGCTGTTTCTTTTACAGAGCCTGCAGATCCTGGAGCACTTCAGGAATAGTTAAACAGTTGTTAAATAGTGCTTTATCTTCAGGCTGGATAACAGCAGAAGCAGCCACTGGCTGCCTAGTGACAGGCAGCTCCATCAAACACCTCCCCAGGAGAGAGGGGGTTGGGATGCCTTGGCCTAATCCTGACAGCACCGCACACCTGGACTCATTCCAGGTGCTGACATCCCCAAAAACCTGTGCTTAAAATTAAACTCTGGCTGTTCAGGCCTGGTTTGCAAAAACACAGAGCACAAATGTACCACATTTTGGCTCTGGGCTCCTGGAATTGCAGCTGGGGATGTGCAAGCTTTAAGGAGCCAGGCCTGGAAATGCTGGATTTAAATCCAAGGGCTGAGCAAGCATTCACTCCTCACCCAGCAGCTCCTGTGGAGGGTTTGCCAGCACACGAACCAGGGTTGTGGGGGCAGAGACTGGGACTTGGGGGGCTGGTGGGGAAGGGGATTGGCAGGAGCTGCAGCAGGACAGGGCAGAGCAGAGCTGTGGTTTGGGGACAGGACAGCGCTGGCTCAGCACGACCCAGGAAATTAAACAAGGAGAGAGCAGGGAGCTGGCTGCCTTTCTCCTTGGGTATTTGCTTTTATACACTGAATTTCCTGCTTGGGGAACCCCAGTGCACCCCACAACGCTCCCCAGGCTGTCCCAGAGGTGGGGATGGGCTGGGGATCACCGGGCTGCCCGTCTGAATCCAACAGAGGAAGAAGCGCTTACAGTGGAGGTGACCTTTCTAAATCCCTGCTTTGGACAGACATTTCCAATAAGTGCTGGAGAAAAGCCTGCCAGTTCCAGCTTTCTCAGCCTGCTCTCCATTTTCCTTCCATCCTCTCCAGGCTGAATTTAATCCGAGAAGGTTCCTTTGAGCTTTTGTGTGTTGCTGGGGGAGATGTGGGCGCACGAGGGATCGCGTTACAACTTTCATTTCCTGAAATGTTTGAGGGAACATCCAGGGTTTTATCCACACATCAGGCAAAGTTGACGGCTCGGATTTCAGGTCTTGTCACTCAGCTGTCACCAAACAAATGAGGCTCTCAGAGCTGGAGACGGGGAGAGCTACCTGCTATTCATGACCCCGACAGCAGGTGATCACTCATGGGAAAAGCAGGTAGAATTAATCATTCTGCTGCTCTGTTTCCTCCCCTTTTTTGGCTGACCTGGACACAGTGTGAAATCTGTCCTGGGGGGGTGAACGGGAGTGGGGAGGGGGCGAATTAACCCCTTCCTGCCGGTGGAAACACAAAGCAGAGCTCAGTGAGACGGAGCCTCGGGCTGCTCCCCGGGCTGGCTCTGCTGTGAAAAGCTTGCTGCGAGGTCAAGCCTGATCGAGGAGAGCTCAGCAACCTGTGCCTGGCTCGGCTCCAGGGCCGCCCTGCTCCTACCTGACGGCTGGCCAGGGAGGTATTTCCAAGGGGATGCCCTCAGCACCCTCCATCCCTCCTTTCCACCTCCCACCTGTTGCCAATCTCTCCCTTTTGGGAAATGGAGAGCAGGGGGTGGGAAGGGCTCTGAGGTTGGGGGGCCTGCGACTACCCCCGGGCTGCAGGTGTGTGCTGGAAATGGGGATTTGGGCAAGGGGAGCATCTCATGGCACCTTCCCCAACCTTCGACAGCCAGCCCTGTCCCTGCCTACACGCCTTTGAGCTGTTTGCTTTGAAAATACCTCCTGGTTTGGACTCCTTGCTTGGCTTTCCCGCCGCGCAGGGCTGCGGCCCCGGGCAATATTTATCCTTCCTCTTCACCGAGCCCGCGGTTTGGGAAACAAACGGAGCTGGAGTTTATCCATCCTCCAGGCGTGGAGCCCGCAGCTGCTGCCCCTACAAACATCCTGCATTTCCCCGGGGGCTCCCCTTTTCTGCCCGACGGGCGGGAGCGGCTGCGCTGGATGGGACCCCCGGAAGGTGATGAAGAGCCCAAAAAGGGACAAGAGGGCGAGCCCGGAGCGGGGACACGGACTGTCCCGTCCTGTCCCCACTGTCCCGGCGGGTCGGGCAGCAGGAGCCGCCTCCTGTCCCCTTCCCCAGCCGGGCTCGGGGTCGCTGCACAGCAAGAGAGGGGCTCCGTGCTCCCCCCACAATTCGGCTCCGCAGTGCAGCGCAAGCAGCTCCGTGCGCGGCATTTGCGCGCCGTGCCCTCGGTGCCGCGCTGTGCCCGCCGGACAGGAGGTCCCCCCTAACCCGGCCATGCCCCCCAAAGCTCCGTGGGCACAGAAATCCCGGCGGGATCCGCTCCCGCTCCCCCGAGGGGCGGCAGGGAACCCATCCCAGAGCCCCGGGCCGGCTCCCCCTCTGTCCCCGGAGCCCAGCGCGGTGACATTTATAAATAAATCCCATCTCCGCCGGGCACGGAGCCGCTGTCCCGTCCGGCGGGGATCCCCGCGGGGCTCCGCGCTGCGGATGGCGCGGGAGGGACGCGGGCGAGACCCTCCTGCAGAGGGTGACATTTCTCCATGGCCCGAGACCCCGAGCACAAACACGGCCGAGACTCAAATAAACACGCACTAAATGATGCAAAACGCTGACAGGGGGGACCGGCAGCGGCGAGGCCCCGACGGGGCGGGCCGGGCGCTCCCTCCCGGCCGGCTGTCCTGCTCTCAGGGGGCACAGCGGGCTCCACGGCTCCTCTGTCCCCGTCCTTGCTCCCTTACCGAGGCGCCGGCTCCTCCTCAGCTCCGCTGCAGCCCGTGGGGACGGGGCGAGGGCGGGCAGAGGGGCACGGGCTCGCCCCCGCAAAGAAAAGCGCAGCCTGGGTGTTCTGCCATCAGCGTTGTTTAATTTAAACTGTTTAGGTACAATAGAAAATAAACCCGAAAGCACATGCGATTTTTGGTAACAAATACTCGAGACAGGCAGCGTCATCCGCGGGCTCTCTGCAAGCCGGAGGGCGGGCACGGGCGGGAGAAGGCAGCGGGGAACCGGCGGGGCACTTTGGGAGGAAATGGCCGTCGATTTTATTATTACTATTATTATCCTAATTTTTAGCCGCATCGATGCGTTTCACCACCGAAGAGGAGAAAAGTGGGGGACGCGGGTCCACGGGAGCCCACCCAGTGTCTGCCTCGCACGGCCGCGGTCAGACACAGGCACTTGGTAAAACTCTAATACTGCAGCTTTTGATATATTTTTTTTCACTCCTTTTTCTTTCTTTTTTTTTTTTCTATATTTTTTCTTTTTTTTCTTTCTTTTTTTTAATTTAAACTACATCGAAATCTTTTTGGTAAGGCTAAATATGAAAAATGTAAACGTAACTTCCCCTCCCTCCTCCCACTCGGCCACAGGGCTCGGTGCAGCGATTCTCTCCCTCTGTCCCCGTCCCAGCTCCTCGGGGACCGGGCCAGGCACCAGCAGCAGGGATGTGCCGGCCGACCCTGCCCCACCGCGCCCGCGGCATTTGTTTGGGTACAATCGGATCCAGCAGGGATTGGGGTTTTTATTTTCTTTTTTTTTTTTCCTTTCCCTTTTTTTTTTTTTTTTTTTTTTTTTGTAATTCCCGTTGGGGCCAACTCGTTTGAACTCGAAGGGCCGATGAGGGTTATTGCCGCTCTCTGCGTTTGGCTACGTGGAAAAAAAACAATAATTAAAAAATCGTGGTGATAGTGGGAGACGCTGGGGGGGAACTGGAGCCAGAGCCGGTGTGGGGCTGTGTGAAAAGAGACGAGAGTCCCGTTAGCAATCAGCGGGTGACCTGTAAAACCGGGTGCTGTCCTCTATGTACAACCCAGAGCCTCTGTCCCCGAGCAGAACCTCCTCTCCCGATCCTCTGCCGAGGCCCTTTAGGATCCCAGATCCACCAGGCTGGACGTGAGGGGTCCCAGCAGCGAGTCCTGGAGCTGGTGGCCTTGCAGGCTGTGCGGGGTCTGGGACGCGGCCAAGCCGCTCAGGGAATAGCCGGAGCTCCTGGCGTGGCTGAGGTTTCCCTGCAAGAGCAGGACCGAGTTCTGATCCGGGCTTTGGGGAGGAGAAAACTCTTCCTCGGAGCTGGACATGAGCGGTTTGCTCCCGTCCAGAGGCGAGAGTTGGTTCGGTTTGTTGGTGGCCGCGTTGTTGTTTTCCGTGTTCTCTCTGCGGAAAGGCAAAAAAAAAAAAAAAATTAAATTTGTATAAATAATCGCAGGACGGGGATGTTAGGGCGGGCACGAGGCGGCGGGGATGGGCGTTGTGCTAATGCCCACCGTAAATCCTCCCCGTTTAGCTCCAGCGTGGGAGCAGATGCTTCTCAAGGGGGGGAAAAACAATCCTAATAATTTCACAACGGATCGTCCCTATTTCTTTTACCCCTCCTACAAATAAATCCACCGAACGGCCCGATAATTTAGGTGAGGAGGGAAAATTGGAGGAAGGGGGTTTTTTTGAGGGGCGGTTTTCCTTTCCTTTTAATTAAAAATGAAAGTGCGGCCCGGGCCCGAGCTGGGTGCGGGGTTTTCTCCAGCAGGCTCGGTGGCTGGAGGAGATTCCCTCCGTGGCTCTCTGTGTCTCCGGGCCGAGCGGCCGCCTCGCACCGAGGCCATCGTGTCGCCTGCCGGGGTGGCCTCGGTACGGGCGGCCCGGCCAGCGCCTCCTCATCCCGATCTCCCTCTGCTTCCCTCATCTCGCCATCCCGGAGCTGCATCCCTCTCCTCCTCCGAGCTCCAGAGCTGCCCTGCCCGACCCCGGCCGCACAGGACCCGGCATCCCGAGCGCTCCCCGGATCGCTCCCGGCTCGCAAACAAAGGCGGCCGAGCGGCCTGGAACAGCACGGTGGGGGCTGCTTGCTGCCCCAGGGCAGGTGAGGACGAGTGAAAAACCCATTTGGGTTTCCACGGAAGGGGAAAAGGCAACGCGGTTTACGAAAAAAAAAAAAAGAAAAGAAAAAAAAAAAAAGAAAAGAAAAGAGAAAGAAAGAAGAAGAAAATAAAAAGGAAAAAAGCGGGGGGGGTTTTGAAGGGAACTGTGTGTTTTCGTCGCTCCGATCCCATCCGGCTCCGCGTACTCGCCGCGCTCCCGGAGCAGCTCCCGGGGTTCCCAAACGCCCCCCGCACGGTGGAGGAGCAGGGAGAAAAGCGGGGATCGGGGATCGGAGGGTGGCACGTACCTTTCCTTCGCCTCCGCCGCTCGGTCTCGCTGCCTTCTGTTCTTGAACCAGTTGCTGACCTGGGTGGTGGTGAGGCCGGTGGCTTCCGCCAGCTCCCGCTTCTCCCGGGGGGACGGGTAGGGGTTGTGGGCGTACCATTCCCGCAGCACGCCCCGGGATTTCTCCTTGAAGCAGTAGCTGGTTTCCTCGCCGTCCCAGATGGTGCGGGGCAAAGGGAATTTTCGGCGGACGCGGTATTTGCCGACGGCGCCCAAGGGTCTGCCCCGCAGCTTCTCGGCTTCCACGTAGTGCGCCTTCAGCCAGAGCTGCTGCAGCTTGGGGTGGTTGTGGGGAGAGAACTGGTGGCTCTCCAGGATCTTGTAGAGCTCGCGGAAGTTGCCGCGGTGGAAGGCCACCACCGCCTTGGCCTTGAGGACGCTCTCGTTCTTGTGCAGGTGGTCGCAGGCCGGCAGCGACCAGAGGAAGCGGCCCAGCCTCTCCAGGTTCCCCCCTTGCTGCAGCACCTCGCACACGCAGGCGACCTGCTCCTGCGTGAAGCCAAACGACGGCAGCATCGACATGGCCGAGCGCGGCGGCGGCCGCAGGACGGCGAGGAGAAGGAGGAGGAGGAGGACGAGGAGGAGGCGACGGGCACCCCGCGGGAGCGCGGCGGCGGAGGGGCGCGGGGTAGGCGCCCGCCGGGCCGGGGCCCGGAGCTGATCCCGATCCCGGTGCCGGTGCCGGCCCCAGAGCGGGGAGGCGCTGCGGCGGCCGAGGGCGGCGTGCGGGGCGAGCGGGGATGCTCGTCGCGGCGCCGGGGGGAACTTTGTCCCCGCTCCGCCGCCGCCGCGCTTAAAGCGCCCGAGCCCCCGCGCCGCGCTGATTGGGCACCCCCGGCCCGGCCCGGCCCAGCCCGGCCAGCCCAGCCCAACCCAGCCCAGCCCGGCCCGGCGGGCAGAGCCTCGGCACGGGCGGGCGGGGCCTGGCGGCGGGGACGCGGCCCCGGACACGGCCCCGGCCGCGGCTGCGCGTCCCTCCCGCCGCCGCCTGCGCCGAGCGCCGCCGCCCCGGGCGCATCCCCGGGGAAGCCGCTGCCGCCCGCCGCTTGTCTTGCTTTCTTTTTTTCTTTCTTCCTTCCATCTTTTTTTTTTTCCGCCCCAAAACTCCTGCCCCCCGCCCGCCCGCTGCCAAAGCAGCCCAAAGTATTTAATTACCTTCGAGCTGGGGATGGATAAATAATGCGATAACGCTTTGGTGAGGAGCTGAATAAGGCGCCGGGCCCGTGCGCCCCTTCCTGCCCCGGGGGGGCCCGGCGGGTCGGGGCAGCCCCGAGCAGACCCCGGGCAGCAGCGCTGCACCCACCGGCGGCGCTTTAATTAGCCTAATCCTCATTTGCACACCCCCGCTCGAAAGCAATTATTTAAAAAATTAGAAAACAATTAGGCTCCCTAAGCAAAGATAATCTATTGTCAGCAGGGAGGTGAGGACAATGCGGTGAGATAAGGGCAGGGCGCGGGGGGCCGGGGGTGTCTTTATGGCTGTATTTATCTTTGATTAGATAAGTCGAAGCCCGTATTTTAAGCACACTCCAGATCGCTTTGGATTCAGGAATGAGTTCGTTCCGCGGGCGCTAAGAGCCATCGCGGGGCTCTTTAAAACCTTTTTGTCCTCACTAAGACAGTCGGATTTATTTGACCTACCAAGTCGGATTTATTTGCGTTCAGTGCTCCGAGGGAAGGGGAGTCCGCTCCGGCCGCGGGGCTCGGAGCCGGGGCGCTCCCTGCCCGTTCCCTGCCCCATTCCCTGCCCCATTCCTGGTTATTCCCTGCCCATTCCCTGCCCGTTCCCTGCTCCATTCCCTGCCCGTTCCCTGCCCGTTCCCTGCCCGTTCCCTGCCCGTTCCCTGCTCCATTCCCTGCCCATTCCCTGCCCGTTCCCTGCCCGTTCCCTGCCCATTTCCTGCCCGTTCCCTGCTCATTCCCTGCCCGTTCCTTGCTCATTCCCTGCCCCATCCCCTGCCCCATTTCCTGCCCATCCCTGCCCATTCACTGCCCGCACCACGACGTGGGAAAGGCCGATATTTTCCTAAACCCGGATTGTTGTTTTTCCCACGTACTCCGCGTCTCGGTGCTGTTTAAATTAAGCCCCTGCCACCCAGTCTGTACAGCGACTGCACTATGTCCGCTGGAGTCAGGGCGCTTCCATATCCCATGACCATGTGTCTGGTAATTTTCCCTTGCCATTTTATTTTAGTACTTATGATGCTGCAGATGAAGTCTTAAAGAGCTGCAATGTCCTCCCAGAAGGAATGTCTACTTGGAACAGATCCTTATTGACAAGGCAGCTGTGTGGGGACCGGAACGGAGCCTTAAACCCGGCTCTAAAATCAACTAATACCCTAAAGTCTGGAGCAAGTGCGCAGAATTACGAGGCATGGGCTCGCCCGCGGCCGCGTCCTGCAGGAGCAGCGCCCTGCCCAGCCTAGGGGTGGGTTCCCCCATCCCTCGTTTCTATTGTTATTCATTTTAACTTTTATTTTCTTCTTTCTAGTGAGGGGCTCGGCTCGGGAAGAGCTCGGACCTGAGGGTTTGTGACTTCTGGATGAGGACGAGAGAAACGCAACGCGGGGCTGGGGAAGCCCCTGGGCGCTGTAACGAGAGCGGGCTTCTCTTGCCCTCACAGTTCTCCTTTTTTTGTGTTGTTCTCTTTTTCTTCTTTTTCTTTTCCTCCTGTAAAAGGCCGACCCAAACGAACACGGCTCTTGCCGGGAATAAGCAAATTATCCCGATGCGGCCGGCGGAAGAGCTGACGGACACGGGCGAGGGCTGAGCGGAGTCTTCCTCGCGATCCTTGAGCGGGGCTTTATTCTCCCCTCCCATCAAAATTCACAAAAGGAGGGGACAGACCCGCCGGGGTCTACCTGGGAGTTGCTGCAGGCAAAGAAGCTGAGCGTCAATGTTCCTTAAGGCTCCGGTGGTGGTTTTCCTAAAAATTGGGAACCTTTCATTTTGAACCAAGGGAAGAGGCAAATGTATTTCCAGAACCATCCCATTTAACCCTTAGAAAATCACAAAAGCAAAGACAAAAATGAGAGTTTCGAGCCGCTCAAAAAAAAAAAAAAAAACCATAAATAAGGAGGCAAAAAAAAAAAAAAAAAGGAAAAATAAGCAAAAAGCCACCGAACAGGACAACGGCGCTGAGCTGCCGCCGGCCCCTCTCGGTGTTTGCTTTGCCGGTGGAGCAGGGGCAGCATCACGGGCCAGCATCACCGGGCAGCATCACCGGGCAGCATCACGGGCAGCCTCTCCCCGCTGCCCGCCCGGCCGCAGCTCCCCGGGCTGTCCCCGCCGCCGGGCCCGGGCCCCTCCGCTGCTCGCCCCCATTGCCCGGGCACCCATCGGCTCTGTCTGTGCGGGAAATTCATTTATTCCCTTGTTTATTCGATGTATTTGCACAGCGCAGGGCGGGGATGAAGATGGAGCCCACGCAACGCGCTGCGGGTTTTTCCTCGATTTCGCCAGAAAATCAAAACAAAGCAGAAAGAAAAAGTAAACCAAATATATCCCCCGTTTCCTTCCGAGCTTAGAAATAAAGCTCTTCCCCAAGCAAAAGTAAAATTTAATTTTTTTTCCCTATAAGTGCGAGGGTCTAGAGGAAACAAATAGCGCAACAAAATAAAACCAGCAGCGGGTTTTGGGAGCCGCTTCTCGCCGATGAGAACCGGGGCTGGAGACTGGGAACCGGCGGGGCAGAAACACAACGCTGCCACTCGCCCAACATTTCGAAGGCGAAACCCAAAACCGACCCATTAAGTCAATGAGGTTTGTGTTGTGGAGGCTCCTTTCCCATCCACTTGCTGTTCTGAAAAATAGATCGCATTTCGTTATCTCGAGCGAGGATCTGCAACGTGATACCGGATCCGCGCCGCCTTCCCCGCCGAATGCGGGGCGCGGGGAGACAGCCAGCTTCCCGGCTTAGTCCCCAACAATAAAGGATTTGTGTTTTCTTTCTCCCCCTCTCTTTCCTCCCGCCACCCTCCCTCCTTTATTATTCTATTTTTTAATGAGGAAGAACAAACCCCTGTCCATATGCAGCGCTCTTCTCTGTGGCCCGGCTCGGCCGCAGACCGGTGCGACCTTTGATTACGTGTTGGTGAATTGCCCTCCCGACACCTGCACAAACAAAGGCGCTGTCCCTGCCCCGGCGGTGCCACCGAGGGGTCCCCCCGCGCCCCGCGGGGTCAGGCCGGGCCGGGGCTGCCCGAGGAGGGCCGGGATGCTGGGGCGGGACGAGGATGAGGATGAGGATGAGGATAAGGCCTTCCCGATGTGGCCGATCCCCAGGGCACAAAGGGCTCTTTCTTCGCGCACTTACCGGGACATTTTTTCAAAGGATTAGAGGTGATCACGCGTTGTTTTCTTCTCTCCGAGGGCCGATGCGTCTTTCTGTCCCTGTCCCCGCCACCTCCACCCTTGTTTCCTCCCGCTTTTGCCATGGCACCCCCAGATCCCGCTCCCCCCTTCCCTTTTCGCTAATGTACCTCCTGGACGCTGATTCTTTAAAGCTACGAAGAATTTCCTTTTGGGAGGTGAAACCCTCCAGCTCCTCCTGTTCGGAGGAAAGTGCTAGTGATGGTAATACGGGGTGACACTAAATAAACAGTTAAAGCAGGGCTGGAAAGATGGAGTTAATTATCCGGTGAGCTACATTTAAACCGAGACCAGGAGGGGCTGATTTGTTTTGGCGCAGGGAACTGAGAAGGAGACGAGCCACCGAGGTCTCCTTGCTCCTCTTTGGTGGCTCTTTGACTTGTCCTTGTGTCGCCAGCCCGGGGACCGCGGTCCTTTGGCCCGGGAGGGGGAGCCCCGGCCGGGACCCCCGAATCGCGGCCCGCGGCTGCAGCGCTGGGAGCCTCTGTGCGAGCCGTGCTTGGGAACAGGCGATTTCAGGGGGTCCAGAGGCGATTTTTTGCCGTGTTTGTTTGCTTTTGCTTCCCAGAAGTCAGATAAATTCTCGCCGGTGCCTGTGCTGTCAGGTAAGTCTGCATAGCAGCAGCCCCGCGATGTGCTTTTGTTTTTTAAATTTTCCCTCCTGCTTCTTTCCTATTTTCCTCCGTTTTTTCCTCCCTCTTTTTTTTTTTTTCCCCTTTCCTTTCCTTTTTTTTTTTTTTCCTTCTTCTTTGAGAAGTCTGATATTAATAATCCCCGTATGCCCCGCTTTCCGGGTCATTACGGTACTGCTGGTCTCTAATCAATCCTAATGCGATGGCAATTGGAGTCTCTGATGAATGCATCTCAGGTTTCTTGTAATGGCTCTACCACATTTTCCTGGACCTCCTTCTTTAACCTGAGATGCCAGGGGGACGTCTCCGTTCTCAGCTGCTGATTACTTCAAGATGTTCGGGCTGGTGTGGGGAGAGAGGCAACGAGCGAGGCAGCCTGCCCCTGAATAATCTGGAACTGAATTGGATGAGCCATTTCCTAAATCAAAGGACAGCGGCGGGGTTTAACTCCTTTTCTGCACGGGAGCTTTGCCGGCTCTCCCTGCAGCCTGCGCGGGCTGCGCCGCCTCTCCCCGCGTG